AGAATAGAATAGAGAATAGGAATAGAATGGAATATAGAATAGAATATAGAATAGGAATAGAATAAAATAGAATAGAATAAAGGAATAGAATAGAATATAGAATAGAATATAGAATAGAATAGAATAGAATAGAATAGAATAGAAAAGATAGACTACCATATAGAATAGAATAACATATAGAATAGGAATAGAATAGGAATAGAATAGGAATAGAATAGGAATAGAATAGAATATAGAATAGGAATATAGAATAGGAATAGAATAGAATAGAATATAGAATAGAATAGAATAGAATAGAATAGAATAGAATAGAATAGAATAGAAAAGATAGACTACCATATAGAATAGAATAACATATAGAATAGGAATAGAATAGGAATAGAATAGGAATAGAATAGGAATAGAATATAGAATAGGAATAGAATAGGAATAGAATAGAATATAGAATAGGAATATAGAATAGGAATAGAATAGAATAGAATATAGAATAGGAATAGAATAGAATAGAATATAGAATAGAATTGAATAGAATATAGAATAGAATATAGAATAGAATATAGAATAGGAATAGAATAGAGAATTAATAGAACAGAATAAGAAATTATAGAATAGAATAGAATAGAATAGAATAGAGAATAGGAATAGAATATAGAATAGAATATAGAATAGGAATAGAATAGGAATTGAATACAATATAGAATAGGAATAGAATAGGAATAGAATAGAATAGAACATAGAAAAGGAATAGAATAGAGAATAGAATAGAATAGAACAGAATAAGAAATTAGAATAGAATAGAATTGAATAGAATAGAATAGAATATAGAATAGAATATAGAAAAGGAAGAGAATAGAGAATTAATAGAATAGAATAGAATAGAATAGAATAGAGTAGAAAAGGAATAGAATAGAAAAGGAATAGAATAGAATAGAATAGAATAGAATAGAATAGAAGCTGCAAGGGACCTTGGCGGTCTTCTAGTCCAGCCCCCGATTGGGTGAAACCTGGCTTAATAGCAGTAACTGGGATGGGGGATCTCCAAGTCTTAGCGGACAATCAATTCAATAGGAGCCAGCCAAAAAAGCCGTAGCAATATTGAGTTGCCTTAAGAGAGGGATTCAACCAAGATGGCATGAGGGACTAGCACCACTCTGCAAAGCTTCAGTAAGGCCACCCCTAGAATACTGCAAGCAGTTATTTGTGTGTGTGTGTGTGTGTGTGTATAAAGTAAGTGTATTAAACAGTTTTGTTTGTATTTTATGCCCGGTGTTCGATTGTTTCTTTTAAGTATGTATATATGTATATATAATTAATTTTTATAAGATCACATTCTTCAGGATTTCGCAAACAGCGTAGTGTCTGGATTCGCGTGTTTAAAAAAACCATCCGTCATAATTAGCTTCCATATTTTCCGAATCAATACGTTCGTTAATAATATACTTCTTCAATCTTCTCTTCTCGTTTTTTCTAGCCACTGATAAAAATTGTCCCTTGTTCTGAAGGACACCGAGCCTTCTTTCTCTTTCATCTTCCATGTCGACCTGTCCATTTCTGCGCCGTCTTAAGATTTTCTTCATTAATTCTTCCTCCATGGGTAGATTTGCATTTTTCCCCCCCAATATTGAACGAATGCTATTGTTACTGCGGACAATACATTATAATATAATAATATAATATAATATAATATAATATAATATAATATAATATAATATAATATAATATAATATAATATAATATAATATAATAATATAATATAATATAATATAATATAATATAATAATATAATATAATATAATATAATATAATATAATATAATATAATATAATATAATATAATAATAATATAATATAATATAATATAATATAATATAATATAATAATATAATAATATAATATAATATAATATAATATAATATAATATAATATAATATAATATAATATAATATAATATAATTAATATAATAATATAATAATAAAATATAATATAATATAATATAATATAATATAATATAATATAATATAATATAATATAATATAATATAATATAATATAAATAATATATAATATAAATAATATATAATATAAATAATATATAATATAATAATATAATATAATATAATATAATATAATATAATATAATAATAATAATAATAATAATAATAATAATAATAATAATAATAATAA